AGTTACATATCTGGGGCTTTAAGAGTGTACTATTCCAGTTGATTACCGGTAGATCTAACTTGTAACTTGACCTGATTGTTTTCATGGACATATACAGAAGTTTAAAGCCCGTCAAGTAGGTAGTAAACTCTTCACAAAAAAGTTACAAAGTTGGTCAACTGTGTAACTTTTTTGTGAAGAGTTAAACAATGTATAGTTCAGTTTATTTGTTCAGTATATGCTGGATGGTTACTTGATTCCCACCATGTTCTTATTATTTCACCAGCTGACTCCTACGCCAAAACCAGCTCCAGTTGTAAAACTAAAAACTACCTTCACTCAACATCCAAAACAGATTTTCTTAACTCTTCACTTGACAAAAAGCAGTACTGACATCTGTGTAACGCATAATAATCTTCATGGAGAGTGCTACCAGCGCCTTGTCCCACTCACTCTGGTTAAAGCAAACTGCAAAGTCAATAGACCACAGAACAATCAAAGAGGAGAGCTCAATTTTCCAGCTCACGATAATCACCTCCAGGTCTGAGGGCCGAAGCTGTGGTGTAGGTCAGTTCTGTAGAAGTCATATAGGCTCTGACCACATTACATAAACACATTTACAGACAGTTTCCAGACGCTTATGCCCTTTCTGTAAAATTAGTGACATTATTTCATAGGCAAAATGAAATACCATATGCTTGTTTTTATACATTTAGTCTGTCTGAGAGTTTGTCTGGCTATTTCTTTTTGAAGTCACTTCACATCATTATATTTTGTGTTTCAAATATTTCAACATATTACCAGAAGAAAGTATTACTTGCATATGAGTAACTGACCAGAACTGGGGCAACTCATTTACTGTCTCTGTCCTTATCTGGTTAGCATTTTAGTGGTTCATTTTTCTCAACAAAAAAGTTGATTTAAAAGCATCATTCTAGTTTGTTAAATATGAATTTTATATCTTCATCAGATTATTTGCAAAAATAAACATTGAACAACAATTAAAGCCACTTTGTAATATGTGTTTAAGCTCAGGAAGCTGAAATAGTCTCTCATATTGTTATTAAGTTAGAATACTGTAATAAAACTACTTTTCAGCTTTATAAATATCATTGTTGATTGATTGATCCTCCAGTAAAGGTACTAACCAAGCCTGGCAACAAGATCACAGCGATGGACCCTGGGGGTGGTGGCCACTGCTCCTGATGAGAATGGGTCTAATACAAAGGACAAACTTCTCTATGTGGAATAAAGAGTACTTTCACTATTTCCAGTAACTAACCACAAACTATATTTATCTGCCAAATATACAATAATGAAGGTAAATAAATGCTGGCCTGGTCAGTACTTGGATGGGAGACCACAGTAAATACCGGGTGTTACAATGGGTCTGCAGAAAAATAAAAATAAATTATAAAATATTCGTTTATGAATTAACACACACCAAAGAACTGTATTCAAACATCTCACAGAAAGCATTATATCTATCTTTTCATTGTGGCAGATAAGAGTTCTTAGAAGCTGGCTGCATTTCTCAGAAACTCAGCACGCATGATGCATCCAAAAAACTCTAAATAATCACCACTTTATTGGAACAAAAAATAACATTTTGAACAACATATTCTAAGCAAAATGAGTCACATAAGTTCTAGTTATAGACCCTGGTAAATGTCTTTCCTTTATTGCTACACTTTAAACACTGATTGGAAAACATTAGACAAGAGCTTTGCAAAGTGAAAATGCATTTTGAGTGCACAGTGGAGATCCCCCCGAAGTGAGGCAACTCCTACACAAATGTTTAGATGAACGTGGGTGGGGGTCTTTTCTTGCTTTATGTTAGCAATGAGTGTGTTTTATGAAAGGGTCATGCTAAAGAAGAAAGGAGCAGTAGTGGAGAGCAGGAAAGGGGGAGGAGAGAAGTGTAGGAGGTGATCTTTAGCACTTAGGGTTAAGTCGGGTCTAGCTTTGTAAATTTTGGTTTAGGTTTATTTAGTTTATAAGGTTTGTTTAAAGAGATTTATGTTATAATGTTGTTTCCTCATCACAAACATACCCAGAGTCGTGTTTCGTTTCATTCATACATGTATAACACACAAATCCAGCTTATTTAAGCTGAGTTCTTCTCTCAAAACACACTGTTCCACCTTCACCTGAAACATTTGGATAAATTCAGTCCTGGAATTTCCAGTCACTGCTAAACAAAATATAAAAGGTAGTTGTTAATTTGAAAACTAGACAAACTTTATTGATTTGACCGATAAGGAAAATGATTTATCTAGACAAACTGATAATAAAGGGTTACTCATGTATGAATAAATGAAAACACAAGTCCAGGTATGTTTTTGATTAGGTAATATAAGGTAAAATAGTATTATAACATGGTTTTAAGCTCATAGGAGTAAATTTTGTGTAATATAGGACATTTCTATGGTGCAATATAGGTGACTTTTCTTGTGGTGGTGGTGGTGGTGGTGGAGGGGCTGCTTGTTTCTAGAGATAAAAGATTAATGCTGTCCTGTGGAACATTCTAGGCAATGTAGCAAGATAAGCTATTTAACAGATTTTTGTTGTTGTTGTTGTTACACTAAATATTCAATTGACATATATTTATTTATATATTTATTCATATTATTTCTTAATTTAGGGGTGAATAAAGTTGTATGACATAATAATTATAATCATAGTGAACCCACTGAAAAATGCCTTGAAGTAAATTTAAGTAATAGTAAATTGTCACATTTTTATTTTCACCCAAATTGCTTTTACAATCTGACCCAAATAAATCCAAACTGTAGTATCCACTTTGAAAGAAAATGAAGGTGGATGTTTACAGAGGAGGGATTCTGAAGAATTTCAGTTGAGCAATACTGTGTTTTCTATCATTGCTTTATAAGTCAGTGTTGATAAAACTCATCATCTGTTGGGTAATTTAGTCAGAATTGACAGTGTGTGCATATCAAGTGTGTGTTGTATGTATTACTATTGGCATACACCTCTTTGTGTGGGATTGATGTGGGTGGTGTCTATTTTAATGTGAAAAAAAGTTCATGTGTACTCACTGGATTTTTAAGAAGTATTACTCAGCCAAGAGTGCTGTTTAAGAAAACTATATTTAGTAACTGTGGTCAAATTTCACAACATCAGGTGGGGTATGTTATAATTATTTCTGATAAAAGATAATTGCTGATACTAATACAATATATGCACAATGCATACAATGTGCATATTAACAACAGGTTTAGGCATGGTGTAATAAGGAATAAATGTGCATATTGTATCAAGTATTCCTATATCCTGCATAAACATTCAATGAAGAACAAATAACCAAACATAGGCTCTAAACACAAATCTATCTATCTATCTATATATCCATATCTATATCTATATCATAAATGTGTTCCTCACTTTCCACAGTGGTTGGTCTCTCTCACCCTCATCCAGCTCGGGTCCTCTGCGCAGTATCTTTGCTGTTTCTGGACTGAGATGTCTGATGTTTTTCCTCCTCCAGTTTGGGGGCTACAGTCCCGAGTGCTCCGATCACCACGGGCTCCACTGATGCCTTCACCTTCCAGACCTCCAGGTTCTATTGCTTATCCACCACCACTATGTCTGGTTGGTTCTCCATCACCATTCTGTTAGTCTGTATCTGGAAGTCCCACAGGATCTTGGCTCGGTCATTCTCCTTTGGAAGTGTTTCCCACCTTGACCTTGGGGTCTCCAGCCTGTATTTTGCACAGATGTTACTGTACACCATGCATGTATGCTTTACCAGCTGCAGCATCTTACACCCTGCAGATATATATATATATATATATATATATATATATATATATATATATATATATATATATATATATATATATATATATATATATATGTGTGTGTGTGTGTGTGTGTGTGTGTGTGTGTGTGTGTAGTTCTGGCCACTACCTCATGTGATTTACTGTCATAGTTTTGCATCATTATCTTATCATTTGCCTAGTGTTTGGATGGGACTTTTTATCCCTGTATATTTACAAGAATAATGATATAGGCCTAAGCCATTCCTTGTTGTACAATGGGCAAATTTTAATTGCGCTCAGGCACGACACCAGATGAGTCATTATGGTCATTATATAATGAGGAAACAGTAAGCTTTATCATTTACCTGCACAGGGAAAACCCACAAGACAGATTTACTGTTTTAATCTGGAACAAGGAAAAGGGAACTGAAAAGGCTGTGTCATGTTTAAATAAGAAAATTGTAAGTTATACAAAAGAAAATTTCCATCTTGTGTTGAAGTGTATGTATGGAGACGCTGGCTCCAGTTGACTTGAAAACATTGCCCCTTTCTTAGGGACTGATCTCTGCTGGTGCCAGTCAAGACTAAACACGGGGGAGTGAGCTTTTCAGATTCATGCAGCTAAAACCTGGAACAGTGTTCCTGAAGATGTGAGACAGGCCTCTACTTTGACTGTTTAAATCCAGACTGAAAACAATTCTGTTTAGCTGCATATGACTGAAAGGTTTTCATTTTTCCTTCCACAGTCCTCTCTCTAATTTAATGTCTCTCTTTTTAATTTTATGATGATTATTTATGTTTTCATTTGTTTGTATTGTGATTGTGATTTGCATTTCTTATTCTGTAAAGCACTTTGAATTACTTTGTGTATGAATTGTGCTATACAAATAAAACTTGCCTTGCCTTGCCTTTCTGTAACTGTTGCTGTCAGACTCCTCATTTTGGTCTTAAAATGTAAAATGTAAACAGGTGTTTTTCTTTCCTATTTTGTTTGAATCCTTATTCCTAACATAGAGTCTACAGTGGCCTATAATGGTCAGCTACATGAAATGCTACAGGCTTTTAGCACTGTTCAAACATCAACTCTTTACTTTAAAGCTTACCAATTCAACATACTATACTGCGCATTATTTGATGTATGAATGAAAGAAACAATGAAATATGTTGTGTTGAAAACATAGTTAGAAATGACCCGTGAAAGGTAAAACATCACCATGGAAACTAACCTCTCGCACCGGATGTAGTTTAGTGTTGTCAGATTAGCTTCCGGGTGGAAATATTGTCCATGAAGTAAATTCATCTGCTGCAAATCCTTTTGGACGAACTTTTGCCACACTGAACTTTTTACAATGTCCAGAGGCTCCAGCGCAGGGTTTGATCGACACATTACCATCTTCTCCCCCGAAGGAAGACTCTATCAAGTTGGTTAGTATTGACGTTTGCTCAGACAAAAGCCGGCTCGCTCAGTTTTGCTAACGAGCTAAATGCTCTGTCATGGTTGGGGTAGCCTGGCTTCTAGCGCCGTGACAAATAATATCCTTCAGAAGTGAAAGTAAAAGTGGAGAAAGAATAAAAGTCGTCTTTATTTCTTATTGGTTTTTAATCGCTAAATGTAGCTAAAGTTATTGTTTAGCTCTAGATTGTTATGTTACGGCTAGCTGTTAGCTCATTAGCATTGTTAGCATGACAACCAAGCTGATTCATTGCACAAACTGTACTGTGTGATACTACAAGCAGGATTTCATTAAAGTTTTTTGTGCAATTAAATATAATTGAATGTAGATTTTAGTGATATATATTCCTCCGCACAAAGACATTTTTATGCTGTAGACATTTCTTGTTATCTAACGGTATCTGGACTTATGGAAAAAGAGGCTCCAAGTGTGAACTCTACTGACTATTTGTTAAGTGCCTATAAATTGTAATAGAAAAGTCAACATAAATTAGTTATTAAGGTGTTCAACATAATTTTTGATCTAAAATTGTGCACTAAAGATGTAAAACCAAAATGTAAAAGGAAGAAAATATCTGAAATATCTGCACTGATGAATAATTGAATTTAAACAGAGCTTCATATACCATGTATCCAGTCTTCATCAAATATTCATGAGAATTTGGAAGCAAAACAAATGCATTGAAATTATCATTGGCTTTTCACTGTTTGGCTAATGCCATAACAATGGTTGAACTAAGTAAATCCTATTTCCTCTCCATTCCTCTGCAGAATATGCTTTCAAGGCCATAAACCAGGGAGGACTCACGTCAGTAGCGGTCCGGGGGAAGGATTGTGCAGTCGTCGTAACACAGAAAAAAGTACCGGTGAGTACAGTGGAGCTTTTGTTCATGTTACACCACAGGGCTTAGACTTGTCGATTTAGGCTGCCATGAAAATAAAAAAGACCTACACTTGTCCACAAAAAAAAAAATATATATATATATATATATATATATATATATGTGTGTATATTTATGTGTATATATATATGTGTGTATATATGTGTGTGTATGTATATGTGTATATGTGTGTGTGTGTGTGTGTATGTGTATGTATATATATATATATATATATATATATATATATATATATATATATATATAATTATAAAAAAACAGCAACTGAAAAATCTATGAAGGCTCCTTTTGTAAACCTCTTGTATTCTGTTTGCAGGACAAGCTTTTGGATGCCTCTACAGTCACTCATCTTTTCAGAATAACAGATAATATTGGATGTGTAATGTCTGGAATGACAGGTAAATATTGTTTTCTATTAAAACACTATTAAAACGAAATAATAAGAAGTGATTTAGTAAATTTCCTGGCACATCAAAGTGTGTTCGTAATGCATTGCCATGTTTGTTTGATAGTTTGCCCAAGACACTATTAGTTGTGTTATATTCTACATTTAAAGATTCACAGTTCCCAACAGCAGTGTGCTGCTTTTACAGTGAAAGGTTTGTTTGTTATGTTTTTCTTCAGCCGACAGCCGTTCTCAAGTGCAGCGAGCTCGGTATGAAGCAGCTAATTGGCAGTACAAGTACGGCTATGAGATCCCTGTGGACATGCTGTGCAAGAGAATCGCTGACATCTCCCAAGTTTACACGCAGAACGCTGAGATGAGGCCACTGGGCTGTTGTATGTATACTATATTCTGTCTACTGACTTGACTTTTTTTTTTTTGTTTCTTTACCTTTTTTAATAAGTAGTAGTAAGCGTGTAAGTGTTTGGCTTTTTTTAACCTTCTATTTTGTGTATAGATAAAATTTAAATGCTAATCAAATTAAATTAGCTACTTGTACTGTGACTAATTGACATCTTTTTGCTTTCTGGTTAACTCCAGTTTAACTCGCGGTTGTCTCCGCCTCGTGTGTGTGCAGGTATGATCGTGATCGGCATAGACGAGGAGTTTGGTCCGCAGGTGTACAAGTGTGACCCAGCAGGATACTACTGCGGTTTCAAGGCCACGGCGGCTGGAGTGAAGCAAACGGAAGCGACGAGTTTTCTGGAAAAGAAAGTCAAAAAGAAACTCGACTGGACTTTTGAACAAACTGTGGAGGTATGATTCTGAGTCCAACTTTGTTTCGGTATCGAAGGTGAAATGGGGCTCTGTTGAAATGAGACTAAACGCACAGGAAATTTAACATTGCTCTTCTTTTTAGACGGCCATTTCTTGTCTGTCGACTGTTCTTTCTATTGACTTCAAGCCCTCTGAGCTGGAAGTGGGAGTTGTCACTACACAGGATCCAAAATTCAGGTAAACTGGTTAAATTCACATTTGTTACTCTTCAATTCCAAACAAATGCTAGTCATATTCCACTGTGTATTACATAGTAATCTGTAAGTAGACAAATTCCCAAAATACCAAATACATTAGAAAACATACTGCAGACTATGAAGTCTACATTTCAGTTAAAAGATTATTTTTAAGAGTTTGAAAACAGGTTGTGGCTTCGCCTGTCTGCACTGTCCACTTTTGGACTTCGGCTGAAGCAGGTTTGACAGATGTTGTGGGGAGAGGCCATGGAGGATTTTAAAAGCAAACAAGAAAATTTTTAAAAATCAATTCAATAGAGAGCCAGTGCCATTCTTTTAAAATGGGTGTGCCGTGTTCTCATTATCCCCTTTTAAAATTTTTGCCAAAGGAATTCATAGGCCAGAAGTATTTAGCAATGGTTATCATTTACAATTACTTGCAATGCTCACAATGCTGGCCAAAACTACACATAACAATAATTCCAACCTCAATACTTACTTAAAGCAGACTGATTATGCAAAATCATCCTTTCAGTGCATTTGACCATGTTATAGGTGTTTCCGCTTCTCACTTACCCTTTTAGAGTTGTATTTGGAGAGATTCAGGCATGTTTGAGCAATCGCTTATTTTAAAGACATCATATTGCTGCTCAATCCCTGTTTTCACTGTCACAGGCATGTACCCACTGCTCTGTAGTTACTTTGTTCTCCATTGTATTTGTCAATGAGGCATGTAGGATTCACCAGCATTGCGTAGTCATTTTGGTAAGAAAGAAAGTATGATCTGCAGCTTTCCATCGGCGCTTTCAACTCTTATTGTGATGGCATTTACAGCAATGTAATCTCCCATTGGGCACCACAGTTTTCTAATGTGGAAGTCAATGGACTTGTTTATTTTATTAAGACATTTTAGATTAATATTGCAATTTAATTTAAATGTGCAAATCTAATCCACAATGACCCACAAGTGTCACAAATTATAACTATACAGCAGACTCCAGCTGTTTTAAAAGCAGTGAGTAGAATTGTTTAAGGTTCAATACAATCACATGTTTTTGCAAATGGAACCTCCTCCACAGTTTGAGAACCTCCGCAGCACACATGCACAAACCTCCGCATGACCCCATAAGGTGCTGCTCTGCTGATCACCAAAAAAGAATGAACTCCTCTCTACCATCACCAAATCAGCTCTTTTAATTCACTTTGTTGTTACCTCTTTTCTGCAGGATTCTGGCAGAGGCTGAAGTGGACACCCACCTCATGTCCCTGGCAGAGCGGGACTGAGCACAAGAACGTTGGACTAAAACTAGAGCATGATGGGACATCCCGAGGTGGAGACCTGCGTTATCTTTGTTTTGCTGTACATTTATCCCACTGTTTCATTCAAAAAAATAAAAAGTGTTTTGGAGTAAAATACAACTTGCTGAAAATTTTGTGTGTTTTATGAAATGGTGGTCATTGTCGTCACATAAGGCTAGTATTGGTTTGATCATTCAGATTTAGAAACAGTGGGGCTGTGGGAACAGGAGCGCTGCAGAGTTGTAGACTTCCTGTTGTGGTTTGATGCACTCAAATCTCACACCTGCGGTGTGGCAGACTGGTGCTTTTATAACACGCGTCATACTCGCCAGGCTTGACCTGCTTTTTATCAGATCTTCTCATTTCTGCCAATCTGTCAAATTTAGGTGAATAGGAGATCTACTTTCTGTGTACATTTCTTACAATATACTGTAATGGAGAGTGCAGTATAAAAAGAAAAAAAAAAGTCCCAAAAATATGCTTTGTTTACTGCTCAAGATTTATTTATGGCTGTAATAATGATTAATAATGCTAATAATAACATTGTTTATGCTTTATAGTTGCACAATATGTTGATTAAGTATTGTGCAATCATACAGAGTTATATCAGATCTAATAATAAATTGCATGTACTATTTGTATTTTACATATGGAGTGCATTCCAGCTGGAAAATGACAACTATGATGTGCTTAAATTATACAAAGAGTTCAGCATGTGACAATGCTGACAATACTGACCTCATCTGTGCTGAAAATTGGTCATCAGCTCGTTTCCCCTTACTCAAGACTATGTATTGTCCAGTGTCCTTCCCATTTAATTGTAGGCTGACCAAGCATTATGAACTCTGGAAATTACCTGCATCACCTGTTTAACAATCACAGCTGACTAAAGTGCAGGTGACTGCTTCAAATTCCCCTGGATTTGTTCCTGTTAATGATTAAGCAGAAATGACAAGCAGGCTCCATTAAAACAATATACAACTTTTAAAGCCCACATACCGTACTTTGCCATAGGAAAGTACATTTGTGACCCTTTGTAAAGAAACTCAAATTTAAATAAATACATTTTAATTTTTTTTTGTTTTTATTACAATGGTGACTAACTTAACCACAATGCCCACTACAATCCTGGTGTGTACATTTTATCTATTCTGCGGTAAATCTCATGCTTATTTAATAATAACAGCCTGTAGGAGGGACTGGGTGGTCAAGCAAGTAAGTCTGGCCACACTCCTACTTGTTTTGTCCTAATTTGAGCACAGTTTAATTGTAATGTAGGTTCAGTTTGGTCCTGGTTTAGTCCTGTTTTAGCTCTGTTCTAGTCCAAGTTTTGTCCCAGTATAATCTTTATTTACCACTAGAATTTGCTCACCAATTATCACAAAATATTAGTGATTTTCATCTTTAATTCTACAACCTGGCAACAAAGCAACCCAGCACTTAACAATGCCTGACATAAGTGACAGATAGCGTTGTGGAAACCAACTGTAGTCTTTTTTTAAAGTTAACACCCACTCAAATCTACACTACCTTCCAGTCTACTTCTCCAAAATATATTTTTGTGAACTATGCACTATCTATGACACTTTATCTCTCTCTACCTCCGTTCACAAAACACTAACGTATCCCTTTCACTATCATGTGACCAGAAAACTTCCCATACTCTGGCAATTTCCCGGAAACAGTGACTTGGCACTTATGTTTTTGTAACCTTTCAGAATTCCCATCTTGGTATAAAGCACAATTTCCTACTGTCACTGTAGCTTACATGGAATTTTCAGTACATTTTGTTCCTCTTGTAGCGCACAGGGACTTTCAATGGTGTGACTCACATACCCACTGACCTCGCCCAGACAATAGGAAATCCCAGGCTGGTTCAGGGTGACAATTTTTATGAATTTTGTGGTGACTATAGTGTTTGTCATCATTTTTGCAAGCTAGGAGTGAACAGTACTTTTTACTGTTAAGTCATCACTCATTCAAGATCATGAGACCAAATTTTCATATCAAGACTTTTTTCTTTTATTCTCTCATAATAGTGTTTAAATTCACAGTAGATATTTACAAATACAAAAATAGTATCTCTGTATTTACACTATATAACAGCTCTTATATACAGGATATATATATAGTTTATGCATTTTACATGAGGGACTTTCAGAGTTCATGATCTTGCTTCTTTTGCAATTCAGTCTCCACTCTTGTATTCGGACCAGCTCGGCATCGCCTTCACATCTTCATGGTTCGGTCCGGCCAGCACTTCTGGACGTCCTGGCAGCCAGTTTGTTGGCCCTGAATGGACAGCCCCGATATAGCAGCTTCACATGTATCACCATTTTTTGTTGTTGTTTCTTTATTGGCCAAACTTTATGTCATCGTACAACTGCAAAAAAAAAAAAAAAAGCACATACAAACTGTTACGACCAATGCATTTTCAACACAGTACTTCTTGCCAATTGGCTAGTAGTTTGGATAACAACTATATTTTCCAATACTGACCTCATCATCTGACAAGTCCAAATCCTCCATTTCGCTTTCGTCTGATTCGCTCATGGGCAGTGGCCTCAGCTCCAGTGCAGTTTTGTGATACAATTGCTGCCGGATTTCTTCGTTTTGGCGACCATATGTGAGGTGATATGGTGTGAACCCTCCGTAGTTTAGGCTATTGACGTCTGCACCCAGATCTACCAAACACTGGACCAACGCCAGATTCTGGAAGTCTACCGCCAAGTGGAGTGCCGTTCTTCCACTGCACTGCTCCTATGGAAATGACAAAACACATAACATTAGATTAATTTGAAAAGATTATTTGGAATTACTTTGTGCAGGCTGTTTGTGAATGTATACTCAATTTACCTGTGCATTTATATCTGCGCCCAGTTTCACAAGGTTCTCCACAAGTGAAATGTACCCATTTATTGATGCAAGGTGAAGGCAGTTGTGTCCTATAGAGGGAAAAACAAAAACAAAAAAAAGACAGACCATAAGTCCATATTCAAAGTGCATTGTTGCTTTTGCATGCAGTGTATTCTTTGTACTTGTGTCCATGCTTACCACTGTAGTTGGGGAAGGACATGAGCGCTGTGAGGTGGCTGTGGCAGTTCTGTGTGATGACGCTGAAGCTGGCCAGGGAGCCCTTCTTGCAGGTGATGTGGAGGGCTGTGTTTCCGCTGTTGTCAGCTAACCTGGGGTCTGCTCCGGCCTTCAGCAATCTCTCCACAAGCTGAGGCTGGTCTGTGATCACCGCCAAGTGCAGTGCAGTCTGGATAAAGAGGGGAGCCAAGGGTTAGATCTGTTTGTGAATTTATATCAAAAGACTTCATTTTGGTCTTTTCTGTTGAGTTGCTTACCTGTCCCTGGTGGTTCTGTGCATTGAGGAAGGGGTGACTGTGGGACAGCTTGATCATCTGCAGGACATGTTCAATTGCTTCATGAATGATGGCCAAATGTAGAAGCCTGTTGGTGGTAGGGGAGAGAGAGAGAGAGAGAGAGAGGTGAGTTAAAATAGTACTTGAAAAGAAAAAAAAAACTACCCACTACCCACAGAGGAAGTGGTTCCAGCTATATAAGAAAGAACAAAGCCAGCGCAGCACAGCGTTTCGCAAGACTGGAGTTTTGTAGGGTTATTTCCACCAGTTGTGGCTTGACACATCTGATGCTTTATCAGTTACTGGCAGGGCGCCAGGGACTTTCCTAAACGCGCACAGCGGACTTTAGCCCCGCCCCAACTACACTCTCAGCCAAAATACACACGCAAGCTTGAATAAGCACTGCTCTGCACACACATACTTGAAATTTCTCGTTTTATTGCAAACTTTTTTTTCAATCATGTGTGCGCATCTGCAGGTTTGTTTACTTTTGCATCGGGGCTTTTATGCGCAAAGTTACTATGGGTAACAACCAAAAGCAGCACATTTAAATTCATTTAACAAAAATATTTAGAATAATGCACTTACGTATCACCGTCGTCCGTGATCACATCTCTCCAGGGCTCGTATTCCGGCGTAAACTCCGCATGTTCAGTCATCTTCAGCTCCTCCAAGTCTTTAACTATGTCTTCGTCTCTCAACGAATCCACGCCGCTGTCCAAGCGCTCCTCGTGGCAGGGCAGCATTTTCCCAGCCTGCTTGCCCTCCATGTTGTCCAAATTATATTCCATTCGAGTGTGGTGTGATACTCGGTGCACGTCCATGTTGACTGTTGTGTGACTGTAGAACAGCTCTGCGTCTGTCCAATGTTCAAGGCAGAATGAGCAGCGGAGGGAGGTGCGCTGGGTTAAAAACAGCAGCGGTGGGCGGGGTCAGCTCCTGGGGATTTCCATTGAGGGGAATTAATGCCGGGCTTTTGTGAGAAAAAATCCCCAAAATATACTCAGAATAAGAACTTGTAGTTTCCTATTAGACACCTCTGTTCACCTGTTATGTAGGCTGCAATACAAATCACTGTTTATTCTAATGAATGGGCTGCAGGAGCATGAATGAAAGAGGGCAGACAGCCCCTGACAGGCTGCCCTAGAATTCCCTTCTGCTGGGGAAATTATTTCATTCAAGAATCAAACAGTCACATTTAGGACTTTATTTTTATGTTTTAACCAAGCTATCCCAGTTATGATGGACAAGTTTGTTCAGTGGTTAGCTATGTATGAATGTATGCAATGATTGCTACACTTGTGGTTGTGATATAAACCTGTTGGATATACCTGTGACTGTGCCCAGTAACAGTGCCATAAACATATTCATATCCTTGTAACATGTAAAACTCACATTGTTATGACTTGTGCAGCCAGTTTTGCATAATGGCACTATTCCTGGATAAATGTCTACTTTAGGCTTCTGTGGGAGCAGATTTGCATGTGTATTGTATAACTGTAGACACACTTTCTTCTATTAGATGTGCAACAGTGCAAATCTGCAAAAGGACAAATGACAAAACCTTTTCCTATATTCAGGGAGCATCTGAATTTTTATTTCAATATATGATCAATATTCTAAACAATATACAATTGTGCATATTTCTAAGAGTCATACTGAAACTTAAGATACCCAATTGTTGAAAGTAACCATGGAAGCAATTAACATGCCATCCCTTTAAGCTAAGCTTTGGAGCCCCAAATTTGGGTTAGTTAACTTTGTTTAATTAACATATTTTGTTATCTCCTGAATTGCAGCACCGTACTTTACTCGAACAGGATTTTAAAATGATTTGTATTATATTATTATATTTTATTCTCTTACTATAAATGGTATGGGTCATGCCATGTTTCTGACAGAACAAGTTTCCTCTTGGAGACTCCCTTATGACAACAACACTGTGTATCCCCAGTTATCTTTTTTAGTGATTGCCGAGCATTGCTATGTGTACAATCAACATTCTGGGCAACATACCTTCAATGTGGAAAACACTGTAGAAGTTGGAACATATTTAGAAATTTGCATAATGTCCTTTATTTCCTAAAAAAATCCTTTTCTATGCCAAGATACTGAGAATTCTTGAGGGCATTCCTTCCTCCTCCTAGTGCGTGATATTCACCTGTCCTGTACTTTCTTGACATTCTGAGAGAAAATTCCCAGGTTTACCTTGTTTGTTTACACTGGAGAGCAACAGTAACCAAGCTCAGTGCAGCATTCAGCACTCTATGGGACGATACTTGTACCTCACGCATACGCAGAGTAGCTTGTGATGTCACTGGGAGCGGTATTTGCGTCTGTGCGCCACTGTCGTCACTCAGACATGTCCTGCTTCCTGCACATTGACAATTCTCTGCATAGTTTTAACACGGACATTGTGTTCAAAGGGTTATCTTGGATTGCCTGCATTGCCAACAAGTAGATAAGCACTTTATCACTTTATTTTGGCCCACTATAAGACATACTGGGACTTCCATTTCGCTTTACTCATGTCACCACTTGCAGTGTGTTTCCTGGCTGTTGCTATGGCGACTTAAGTTCTCTGCTTGTGCACTTCATGTTGGTTCAGTTCCACCTAACTGAGTCACTATGGGAGTAACTTGGTAATGTTAACACTAATATTAGAGAATCCCCAGACTAATGCAAGCATTAACTTCCAATTTAGACTTACATAAGACTGATATGTAGCACTTATAGTGCATGTGCAAAAACATATTTATCTTTGCATAAACTTGTCAACACACAGACATATTTGTATCCTAGAAAATCTGTTGCAGCTGCAGAGGCAATAGTTCAAGGGCTGTGTAATGTTATTCTAGTAGTGCACCTGCAACAAGCAATAAGCCATTATAATCATAAGTATAAAAAAATAAATAAAAGCTGCTTTATGTAATTTCACTACAAAATGAAAGATATGTTTTAAAGGTGCACTGTGTAACTTTTTTGGTGGGGTTCCACAACCTGTTTGTTTCCATGGAGATGTTAATGATTTGGTTCTCCACAGTATGGCATTAAACTAATCTGTCTTGCATTTACTCAGTTACAGGTGTTATTTATTCTTCAAAAATATATTTAAAGAAAAAAAAAAAACTTATTGTGTGTGCAGTCGCCTCTCCTCAAATCTAACCTGCAGCTTGCAAGTCTCCATGGAGGTTCATATATTTATGGCCATACTGTGGAACATTAGGCACATCTCCATGGAGACAAGCAGGTGACAAGTTACACAGTGTATCTTTAAGAGTAATTTAATGTAGCAGACAGGGGGCTTACTGATGATTAGAACCAGAGACCAGAGATGTTACAGGTGTTAATTAACACCTGTAACATTAACATTAAAATACACTATGTTAATAGAGAAACTAATCAGGTCTTTTGTGCACTGCATTTTCTCCACCAAATGTGTGAATCTGTTGCTCAGTTTCTCTACTCTCTCCACATTTCACTTCAGCTGTTCTTATCAACAAAACCTTCAGGACAGAAAATGTACAATAAATATATACAGAAGTGTGTTACCCAAGAACACAATAGCTGTATATACAAGAGCAATTGCTGCCCCACTGTGGCACCTGGTATCCACAGCAGTCCCCCATCCAAGAACTAACCAGGTCCAAACCTGCCCAGTTTCTGAGATTAGACAAGATCAAACATTGTCCAGGTGGCAGGGATCTTTATATTTGTACAGTGGGGAGATGATGGTCTATGTAAAACTAATCCAATAAAATGACTTTATAGGGCTTATTGCAATGATTCTTTTCCAGAATTTGTGAAATAATATATATAATATATCAAAGAGTAGTAAGAACTGTCAGTGGGGACAGGTGCAAATAGAAAATGCAGGACAGTGCAGGATTACTCAAACATAAATTAATCGGTCTAAATATAACTCTGAGATGTGATTAAGGAAAAGCATATTAACATGATTAAAAGCTCTTACATTTTGATTTAGGGACTTTTTTATGTTATTTGTCAGTACGTTTTATTAATTTGAAAGGAAGTACCCATGAAGCCACCATTATATTGTAATTATCTAATTATGTTATGTAAAAATACATTTCATGAGATAGACTGATAGAATCTATGGCCTTATCAGTGTTTAGTTATATAACACATGTCTCTTCTGCTCTGGCAATTTCCAAAAATGTGTTTGCTTCTGTCCATCATTCATAACTCTCTGTCCCATTCAAACAGGAAACTCTTGTTTATATCAGAACAATGACAGTGCACTCCATATGTTTCTGGTAGTGACACAGCATTACGCCCACTCCTCTCTCTCATTGACAACGTAGTTTCTTGTTTAGGTATTTATGCACAGATCCTGGATTAAATAATAATGACATAGCTGGGTTTAGTGAGTCAGGCTTAAATTACTCAGGGACACCATGGGCCATGCATAATGAAAGGAATGCAGAGTTATGGTATTGTTAACATCCCCAGTATGTCACTGGGTGCAAGTTGAAGGCCAAAGGAATGAATGACTTTTACTCTATATGGCCTGTTTCCAGTCTTACTCACTGGAAGAAATCATTATTAAAATTATTATGTGTCATGGTATCACCCGGGTTGGTGGTCCTGTTAGTCAAGGTTTAGTTCTGGTTCTTTAGAACTAGATTAGTCCTAATTTAGATGCTTGGGTGAGACTGAACGCATCCTAAAACTGGTTTGTGACTTGAGATGTAGGAGCAGATCTGGGGTTCTCAAGAAAAGTTGTTTTTAGAATGGTATTTGAACAATGTGACCTTAGGTAATATCTGTTTAATTGATCTTCAGTCAGTGTATCTATATACAATGAATTTGTATTTTCAGTATTTCCACCAACCTGATCGGGACTACACAGTTTCCTATGACTTTTATCTTGGTTAATCTATTCTTGTGGACTGCCCCTGTACCAAAAAAAGCAAAAAACAAAAAAAAAAAAAAAACATGCCATACCAATAATGAAGAAGGTCAAAAGGTTCCTCCCATGAGCCCAAAGCATGTGCATTTTTATCATATTTATTACTATTATGTTCTTCTGGTTAGCCCATTGATGATCTTAAAAAGGGGTTGTGCACCTTGGGACCTGTCCCACATTATCTATTAACAAAGGTTGTGTAGCTACTGTATTTGAACGGACATGGCGATCCTTAATCTTGAGTCCACATGACTGTTCTTGGAGGCCCTTGTTACATCGGATCTCATCTGGATCAGTGAATGAATAAGCATATCCTAATTCAGTGTTTTGGAATGGTTCTCATTTTTTTCACACAGTATAGCCCTACCACCTAAAAAGTTAATGGCTTTCTGAGTACCACAAGATTTAAACCCAGATATTATCAAGTCTAAATTAGAGCTAAACCAGGTCTAAAATAGCAGTAAATCATTTAATAAGATAGTACATAAGGTAAATGACAAAAAAAAAAAAAAAAGATTTGTCTCAAAAAATACACAAACTGCAAAAGGCTTTGTGTAGTACCACAGTGAGCCAGAGGGTATTTGGGTACTCCACTGTCATTACTCACTGCTCCTAGTGTAATTCCCCATAAAAACACCAATGATGTATGAGTACAAATACCATGGAAAAATGTGCCTAAAAGGAGTGATGGGAAGAATACTCTGAAAATGTATGCAGTTACATAAAACTGAATACCCAAATTAAAATATATTTTGCAACATATTCTCAGTCATGGTCCAATCAGAGTACTTTATTCTGAATACTTGGAATACTTTCACATCAAGCTGAGTAAAGACCCATGATAGTATTAAAAGCAGCTTTATACTTGTTTTTTTATGCTTTTCCTATCACTAACTGGAGAACAAATGAGTATTGCCATGTATTCCTTTGATTTTAGAAAAGTAACCTTATTCTGAATATCACCAAATGAAGAAGTAACTGTGCTGGAATACAGTTATTGAAAATGAATATTCTGAATATGTATTTTTGGTACATGTGTTCATTTACTTCCCGACACTGCCAGGGAAATAAACATCCCTTTTTGTTGATTCTTTTACAATGTTTAGATTTACTTTGGTGAACTCAATTTACACCGATCACATTATGAAACTGGCATCCTGCATGACTCAATACAATGGTTAACACTAGTTTTGAAAATCTAACATTTTGAAACTTTCGATTTGAGCCTTTAAAAATGTGTGTAATTCTCCCCTTTCACGGTTTCAGCCCTAATTTACACATGCAGATCTGTTCGGGGAATAGTGGGTGAGGAGCAGGTAACACCTCGGCTTTGACTGGGTGTCTTCATTCTCACGGGTAGACTGTCATACACCTCGTACACACACAAAGGATTATATTGTGATCTGTTCCTCTGCCGAATAGTCCCACGGGCACAATGTTCCAATGTGTACATGAGGTTTTAACATTTTGTAAAGACGCTATTATGTCAAGTCTGTTGTTGTTTTTGAGGGTGTTGTGGTATTAAACAGAAAGCATAGTACAACAGATCAAAATAGCCACAATAAATAAGTGAAAGTCATCAAAGGAAGAACCTTAAGACCTTTAAGGGATAGCTGAACGTGCATTATGTAAATTTTGTGGTGGAAGGTTTGTCACCTCTTTGTCTCCATGGAGATGTTGTAGCTTTGTCTTGAATGTCTCACAGAATGGTTTTAAATCAGACCTATAATACAAAATTGACTTCCCAGGGCTTGTAATTGTTTTCCCTTCTCATTTACTCTCTGTGAGTTATATTTGGAGTGATGTGTGCATGTTTGAGCAGTCTTTAATCACTTATTTCCAAAATGCCATATTGCCTAATTGCAGTTTTTACCGCCACTGGCATATGCCCACAGCTCTGTTCTTTCACCAGTTTTATTTTCTTAATCGGTGATATGCACAAGATTTGGCAGCATCATGTAGTCATTTTGGTACAAATGAAAAAACACCTGCGATCCGCTAGTGTGATCTGCAGCTATCCATGGGAGGTGCCGATAGCAATGCTGCTCTTTGACGTTTGTAATGTCAGCTCTCATTGGGCACCACAGTTTTCTAACGAAGAAGTCAGCAGACTTTTTTGTTTATTGTTTGTTTTGGATGAATATTGTGATTTAGAATGTGCAAATTATAATATAATGATCTACAGATATCATAGAGTATAACTATGTAGCACACACAAGCACAGTATGTCTTCTTTAATTATTTATTTATTTTTATTTATTTATTTATTTTTTTTGAGTGTTGTAACACATACATCAGAAAAAATGCTTTGGAAAACATGCATTCTTATGGTGATTAGGGTCTGCTTTCGCTGATTTCCATGGAGATAGATACTATGGAACATTCCATGCAAAACAATAGCATCACCAAGGAGACAAGAAGGTGGTGGAACCTCTACAAGAAAAAGTACATTGTGCATCTTTAAATAAGATGTGAATCAAGAAATTCACAATTATGGGGCCATTCACAGTAAAATCTGTACTAGATATAAACTGTGCAAGGAATTAAAACCAGCACCTTAAGCTGAATGCACAAGTTTTGCATTGGGGAGACGGGAGCCTACTGCAGAAACACATTTAGGCACAATGGGTACTGAACTGGGAACCTTGTTGTTATGAGGCAAGAATGCTAAATGAGTTGCAGTAATACTTTTGCACATGCCACTGCTTTAAATTCCAAATTAAGCAAGTACTTACTGGCCTAATCTCCAAATATTGTTAGTCTCAAAAGAGTGGAATGCCCAGATTTACAGAAGTGTACTGTCTGGTGTTATGGATACACATTTTCATAATAGCAGTTGGAGTTTTACAACGCTTCCCAACATGTGCAATGAATAACTCCACCAATAAACCCACCTTCAAAATTACTCAGAATCATCATTTGCATTGATTTACATGGAGAGACTTTGTTCCCATGGACACATTCAAACTCATGTAAATAACTGTGACAAGGACTTGGAACAGTCTATTCATTGTATCAAAATATGCTTTGAAGATTAGATATAATTTGTTTTTTCCATATTTTATTAAGAAAAACATTTACGTTAAATAGCAAAGGAAAATAGATGAAAATCACGGAATTATGAAACGGTGTGCATTTCAAAGTCAGATTTTCTGCTGGCCTCGACAAACCAAAGAGTTTCCTGACTCTGACAGTGGTGTGAAAATCAATGAGAACAGAAGCACAGTCTGGAAACAGCCAGGCGCTCTGCAAACCACACTCTGCGCTTCAAGAAATGTGTTCACTGTTGGTACAGGCAATGGTTAGTGGCTGCAGTATTGCATTTTAAATTTTTTTAATTTTGGTTAGATAAAATATGATAATAAGCCTCCACAATGTAGCCTATTCTAAGCTCATGATATTGGCTCCAGTTTATGATCTTGTATCTTAACAGGCCCCCCAATAGCGCATTATGTATTCAGCACACTCAGAGGTTGTAGCCACAGCTGCCCTGAGGCTGACTGACAAAGACTGCTACTGCTACCACCATGGCTGGTGGTTTTTGTATGTGAATGTGATGATGTTCCAGATGGGGACAGTTTCCCTACTGATAACATGCTACTTTCATAAGAAATATAAAAAATAAAAAAAAGTTGAATCTGATCATTTCTATTAGTGACTACAGAACTCACTATATTACAACAATCTGTATTTTACAATTATAAGTTTAGTTGCCCTCATATTATTAACCTATAGAATCTTGTGATATAATCTGAAACCCAGCGATTCTTGGACAGACAGGCATAGTGCCGGGATCACATTTCAATCGAGATTAAGCCTTTTGCGCCCTCATGTGATAGAAAGATGAACTGCATATTTAGCAAAAATGCTTTAAAACAACTATTATCCTATTTTAATTTTGTAATGTAATGTATGTAATTAATACCTTCTTATCATACTTTGCATTGTATTTTAAATCAGTACTGCTCATATTAAAAAACGTGATATGCAGTGATGTTGGATGTTAAATTCCTATGTTGTGAAAGACACAAAGTTCCAAAGTTTGTTGCAAGATTGCCTGACCCCACATTATATGCACAGTGGCAGTGTTTTTGATTGTTGAGAATACTAACTCAACTGCAACCCACTCTGCACTACACTCTGCACTACATTTGTAAGATTTTTATGTATGTATTTTTAATTATTTATTTTCATACAGGAATTTTTTTTTTTTTTTATAGACCTATCCATGTTTGAACCTGCCAGTTGGAGTCAGACACTGTGTGATGTCATTTCAGATTTATACTCTGCAATAAAGTGAACTTATTTCAGATGCCAGCTCATTGGGTACTCACTGAAATCTCACTGAGTTCTCACACAACAAGCCTTCACTTTCCACAGTCTCCCACCGCTCTCAGTGCAGCACCTGTCTGTTAGCAGCTCAGAGGTGAAAGAGGTGAAACAGGAGCAGGTGCCCTGACAGCTGCACCCTAGGGTGCTGCACTCATGTGCCCGTCTGTGCACAGGCCGATGTCCGACACCTCAGCCCTCTTTTGGCTGCTGCGAGCGGGAAAGTAGGCTACTGACTCACAACATGATGTCAACACTGGGCCATAACTGTTCAGCTGTGTCTGTAAACAATGAGACTAGATATGTCCGTACATGCAGAGTTATTCACTGAACGTCTGCACCATCTATGTGCTCGTGTTATTCGTGTTATTTTACTATAATATTATGGCTGCAGTGAATTTCCTTTTGGTACATGACAGCAAATCTCAAACATTTATAATCAAAATAACCAAGAGGGGAATGTCTATTTCTCTATTAGTTATTTCAAGATGAAGAAGTTGTGATTCCAATAATTGGTATCAGTCTACTGGTGTAAATAAATGAATATGCAATAATCTGTTAAACCTAAATAAATTAATTCAACCATTTAGGCTAAACAAATATTTAGTTGGTGGGCTTACATCATTAAATTGGATTTCAAGTTTTTCCTTTTTTTTTCTCTGTTAAGCTAAGTAAAAAAAAAAAAAAACTATTCATGACTGGATCCACGTGGGGAACTACAACTCCCATCAAGCCTGCTGTTTTTTGGTTGTCTAGTAACCTCTCCTCTCATCTGATTGGTGGGTCAGAGACATAGGTCTGAGTAAGGCATCCTCTGATTGGTCCACGGTAGCCATGTTTGCACATCCAGCTGTCTTGATGCTAACCGGTTAGCTGAGCTACATTTTTCGTTTTACTTGCAATTAACAAACTGATTCGACCGTGTCAGTACTTTAACACAAACCTATTGGCACTTGGCGATGCCGGTTCACTCCCGGGACAAGAAAGAAAACAATCAAGACGAAATGGAGGTGGATTTTCCGGATCAAGACGGCAGTAGCACAGACGAGGAAGATACGGTTAGCTCCTCGGTGTCTGAAGACGGAGACACATCGGGTAGGGAAAAAACAGGCCTAAAATGTCTTACTGAAGCTAACTACACAAATGCGCAAAACCAGATAGCAGTTGTGTACACAATTTATGGTTAATGTGAAATAACAGTCCAAAAATGACAATGAAAGAATCTAACAGTGCTCTCACAAGAATATGGAGGCTTGTTTGGTGTGAAAAGCTGTTTAAATGGATGTTAGTTGTGTTTTATTTGAACAGAAATGGACGATGAGGACTGCGAGAGGCGGAGGATGGAGTGCCTGGATGAGATGACCACGTTAGAAAAGCAGTTCACAGATTTGAAGGAGCAGTAAGTTCTCTGTCCACTCCCACACAAGCTGTCAAGAGTGTCTGGCAACTCATCCAAGGCTGTGCAGAAAGTTACAGACATACTTTATACTTGAAAATATGCAGTTTCATTCACCTCTTGCACTACCCTTGTGATTTCACAATATCCTCAGATATCATCTATCATATCAGATGTTTGTGCAGTCCTTTGTCTTTAACTTCAAACAGTGACGCCAACGCCCCTAAATCGTCAGTACTTCTTCTTGGGTTTCACACTCTGGTTTATAGTTCGGCACACTCATACAGACTGTATAAAGAAGTGGACTAAGTGAGTCTGACGTCACCCATAGCCTTCGGCTCCAGTCAAATGAAACTCACCGAGGTTGGCAGTTAGTGGAAGGAATTTGGAGCCAAGTTTCATATATATGGAATAGGAATTAATTTACATAGAAAATACCAAAATAAACATTGTAGAATCATGTAGAGTGGGTTAGTACAAACATTTTAAGACAAAAATGAGCCTAACAGCAAACGTTACAGAGAGACAAGTGACAGTTTCTCAATACAAATTGAATTGGAGACTGGAACCGGAAGTGCAGCTATGGTCACTTCCTATTGCAGATGACCTATGTCCAAATATATATACAGTCTGTGGTGGCACAGGTGCTTATGGAATCACGGAGCACTCTGTATATAAACACTGGGTTCCTGGTGCACTAAAATACCAAACATCATGTCCACCGGAGTAACAAGACCCTGATATATTTCATAGAATAGACTGTATGTCTTCAAATGGGCCTTTTCAGTTCAGCACACTTTGTACTTTTGCTGCAGAAAAATGCAAAAACTGATAAGATAAATAAGTCGGGATGTTTTTATTTCAGTTTGAAAATTTACTACATTTTCAGCAGATGTTGGACTTGGTAGTTGTTGCATGCTACAACTCCCTATTGTTCCTATTGTCACTGTCTTTGTCTATTACATAATTGAATTAAATAAATGCCTTCCTGATGAGGCCATGCTGAAGTCTAGCTCTCATAGCCATCATTTTCTAACCCCATTAGAGATAATGATGTCTGATTTCCTCTGCCATTTCTATAATTTTTTTTTCTAATACACAATTTCAAAGGTTAATGATGGTATTTGAGTATTTCTTACCCATTAAGTGTCATTATGTGCTCTCTCCAGGCTGTACAAGGAGCGTCTGAGCCAGGTGGACATTAAGCTGCAGGAGGTGATGGCCGGCTGTGCACAGGAGTATCTGGAGCCTTTAGCCAACCTGCAGGAGAACATGCAGATCAGGACCAAAGTGGCAGGTGCACACTCTCTCTCAGGCTTTGAAGCTTTGAACGGCTGAAGTAATAAAGACACAATCCACTCTGATCTTTGTGGTTTGTGCTTTTTAACCTTTGAGCTGCTGTTTAGTGTGTCGTTTGAGATTTTTAAGGCCTAATGCATAACTTTTTAGCCAAAAATAGACTACAATAAAAGCATGTTTTTTTCATGTTGGATCATTTTGGTTGCACTAAAACCTTGCATCCTTACTCTGAGCAGGCTTACATCTCCCCTGACTTCTGTTTGGCCTGGAGGAGAGCCTCCTCCTTCTTGTCTCCATGGAAATGTTGTTCCTTTATTATAATCCTCAATATGCCTATTCAAAACTAAAACTATCCATGGAAGTCTTCCAAAGTATGGTTTTAAAAGAACATTGTTGCATGTTGCAAAAACTGGATAATTATGATAATTATCCTTTGCTTATAGTTTCTCCTACACAAATTAATTCCAGATATAGAACCTACCAAAATATGTTAACACCATTTCATTTTCAAGAGTGTACTATCCCTGTATTTATATGAATAATGAGTTAAGGATTGTTCCTTCCAGATTTGTTTTCACTGCTCCTTATTTACTTTGTGAGTATGCAGTTGCCTCTACTAATGTGTAAAAAAAATGTAGACTAAGATTTTCTGGTGTAGTACATGATATGATATATTCCTGCATAAAAAAATAGATCAAAGTCAGGCTTGATCAGAGCAAATACCTTGTGATCCTTCACACTGTGTGGAATTTAATAATTGATTATGTCTTCTTGTTACGGCAGGAATCTACAGGGAGTTGTGCTTAGAATCAGTCAAGAACAAGTACGAGTGTGAGATCCAGGCCGCCTGTCAGCACTGGGAGGTAAGAAACCTGTAACAAGCATGCACCATGAACATGAAAATGTGTTAATCCATGTGTTTGAATCTTTCCAGTTTACATTATTATAATATAGTGATAATGACATTGAACAATTCAACAAAACATATGTATTTAATTATGGTTGTGTTGACTTATGTATGTATATATGTTATGTTATGTTATGTTATGTTAATTATTAATAAAATTTTAATTTATTCCAATGACAATAATTGCATAATATCCTGTCTGGATTAGCATTTGCCTGATAAGACCTGCCATTATGATACAAAAATTATATTTACACTGAAAATCCAACCAGAATATATGCATTTAATTAAATCTGCATCTTGGTACATGTAATGCTTTTATTCAATAAAAGTTGGGAAATTGACATTCATAATTTATTAATATAACCTTAGATGAAACATTTTGTGGTCTGTCTTATAGTTATAGTTTTTGAAAAATAAAACTGGTGAACTGCTGGTTACCATTTGCCTGATATCTCCTGCCAATATCTTTCTCCCCTACGCTCAGAGTGAGAAGATGCTGCTGTTTGATACGGTGCAGAGTGAGTTGGAGGAAAAGATCAGAAGACTGGAGGAAGACCGGCACAGTATTGACATAACCTCAGGTAGCAGCATGCTCAAAACACTACATCACAATGAAACTTCAAACACAGACTTGACCGAAATAACTCTCTCTTTTTCCCATTTTTACTTTTCAGAGTTGTGGAGCGATGGGCTGCACTCACGAAAGAACAAGAAGAAAGACCCGTTCTGCCCTGTGAAGAAGAAGAAACCTGTCGTAGTCTCTGATATCCTTTACTTTGTAGTTCACCTTGTTTTATTCTTCAGTGCAACGAAATGCAGTTTTAGCCTATAACCAGTGTGCAATCAAGCAAGTACTAGATAAAAATGTATATATAACAGAATATTATCATTCTGCTCTATTCTATCTCTATTCTAGACTTTTCCTTAATCTTGTTTTCACGGCCGTATATTGTTTACATGCTGCAAGATCTGGACATTCTTGAAGACTGGACCGCAATAAGAAAGGTGCTTGTTGTCTTTTAATGTTCAACTTTAGTCTCCAGCAACTTACAAGTTTTACAGTTAAGTGCATTTTCTACAAAACACATATTTGTATAAAAAAGCAGGCTAAGTGTGTTAACTTCAATCCAGCATAGAACTGCACAACGTAAATTAATTGTTTCCATTGCTTTGCGTGGATTGTTCCACAGTATAGCTTTACCCTTCTTTATCTCCATGGAGACAAGCAGGTGACACCATCAAGGCAAGTTACAGGTCAAATATGAGGAGAGGCATCTTCAAGGAAAAGAGCATATTTTCCTTTTTGAGAACTTTTAACAACTGTAATTGAATAAAGGCTATATAGATAAATGTATTCTAACGCCATACTGTGGAATATTAGCATCTCCTTAGAAATGAGCAGGTGGTGGACCCCCCTATAAAAAAGTTATGTAGTGTGCCTATTAAAGAAAAAGCCACTGAAATTGCTAGTAAAGATTTCCTTCACACAATAAGCACTTGTCAAACTACATTAATCCAAATATGTCGTAACTCAAATGTATTATTCAAGTTACTAAGCAACAGCACTGAAGTGGAAACAGAGACAAGACAAGATGACACATGGTATGTCGACATTCAGTTTCACAGGTCCCGTGATTACCCAATGTACAATTCTGTAATCATTTAGATCACCGATACCAATACTGAACCAGTGGCATGTCCCTCTAAGTTTGCACATTTAAATCCATGTGCACAAAGGCTGAATTCTTAAAACTGACAAATAACATAGAACAGTCTGTATTAAACAACACATTTCTAGGAATTACTGAATTAAATATAACTTTAAATGAAATAATATTGCTTATTGCTATGTGTATAATTTGCCAGTTGTGACCATTTAAATAGAGAGTTATTATTCATTTTGCAGCGTTAATTATGTAATATAAAATTCAGCTCTTTGAACTTTGACCTGATTTCCCATACTAGACACTCTGTTTTGTTGTATGGGTTCATTGTAGTTTTGAAGTTTAATCAAGATTGAACTGGACCTTTTGCTTGTGTAACTACTACACTATTTAATTCACATTTCAGATTTTGAGGGCTAATGAATGAGCCTCTATAGTCTCTCATTTTGAAATGACTGCTATGTTTGGGTCGATTTTGTACAGTTATAATGTATACACAAGAGTCTGCCCATCTCATTTGTGTGCTGTCCCTTCAGGCTATGGCGTCCCTGGGTCCGCACAGAGTAAAGGTGGATGGTGAGTTTTGTTTTTTTTCCTCAGTAAAAGTCAGCATTGATCTCCGCTAACAAACTCACTTCTTTCACTCTCAAACACTAATGGTCATTATTGATCACACATAGATCTTGAGTCCACTTTAATTTTTTTTTCCTCTAACTCTCCAGTGAGTTTTTGATGTGATTGTGTACAGTTTCTCCTAGGCCTGTCACGATAACACATTTTGAAGACTTGCTATAAAGATATACTACGATAAATGATAATATATATTTTAAACCATTTTATTAAGTATACTATATGATTAAAGGGCATGAGCTGCAACCGTTAACTTTTTTCTCAATTTTTAGACTTTTTAATAATAGAATGAAGCAATAATTAGATATGGAAGTTAATTTTTCAACCCTCTTCAGCTCAAAGGTTATTGTATTGCAACAAAAATACCCTGAATCTCCCCACTTTTACAAAGAAACTGTGCATATGATAAATATTGAGCCACAAAATATATAGTTCCAACGTTCATTTATTGAAGTCGATATAGTAATTATCATGACAGGCCTAGTTTCTCCTCCTCTTTGACCAATATGTCTCCAGTGAGTTTTTGATTGTTTCACAGTCTCTCCTCCTCCTTGACCTCTGTGTTGTGTTGATCTGGTGTAGTCCCCGCGGTGAAGGTGGACAGGCATCACCATGTGGCGCGCTCAGAGGACGGCCGGCTGTTCTATGACAACCAGTGGTACTGCAGAGGACAGGCCATCTGCATCAACCGCAAGGACGACTACCCCACCAGGTCTGTGCACTGGAGGAGGGATATTAGATTAGAGTTTTTGATATAGTCCAGTCTTTTTGTTAGCAACACAGTAAATCTATCAAGAGTTTTGACTTTCACAGCAGTTTGTTCTGTTGCCCAGGCAGTATAATATAACTAACTTCACTTAATAACTCAATGAATGTTGAAATTACGTTTGCGATTCATTTGACATTCAAACAACATTCTGAAGTTTAATCAGACTGAAGTTTGGTATGTGTACATTTCAGAATATGTTTGTAGAAGTTCAACTTCAACCCATTATAAGACGTGATTATTTGTTGACAAATTGCACAGTGTTAATGTTTCTTTAGCACTTTTAATATATGAGGATGTATATCTTTCTTGCTGCTATTATAAATGAGTTACTAACAAAATAATTTCCTGAAAAGGATTAATAAAGTGCATCTAATCTAAATAGCAATTTCCTTTCTAATTAATAGTGCTGCCAAGGGCTGGTTAATATGGCAAAAAATCATCACAGTTTATCTTTCTTGTATTGATCAGTCACATATGTTTTATTAAAACAATACAATGAATTTACTATTCATTTCAAGAACACAAAGAAGTCAGACTTTAGACTGTCTTAAATGCAATTTAATGCAAAATGTAATCCTCCAGTGTCTGAACTCTGCTCCAAACCACATGCTTTAACTGACAGGTTTGGCTTTGGTCCTATTGATTAAAAGATCAGGCCCAAGATGATATTTGATTAAAAATCTAATAACTGCATAATTGCCCTCCATGTATTCTTATCTTGGGTCTAATTTCAAGTTTTTATTTTGCAGTGCCATCATCACCACCATCAACAATGATGAGGTTTGGTTTAAGCGCTTGGATGGGACCAAGTCGAAGCTGTACGTCTCTCAGCTGCAGAAAGGCAAATACACCATCAAGCACTCGTAGGTCTGCTCCTAAACCTTCTCTGTCCTCGTGGTCCCGTTCTACATGCTTACCTATATGTGCAGTGTGAGAAACATCAGCAAAACTCGACTAACATGTGGCAATTACACAAACACTTTGAGTCTATAGTTAGTATTTACTGTAAATATGTTGATAAAAACTCACAAAGTGTCATTTTCTCTTGAGATTAAGTGCTGCTAAATATGAAGGGAGAGAACTGTTGACTTGTGAAGTATGGAGCGTGCCTTTTTGAGACAAGAACTATCAATGCAGTGAAGCCTTACCCCTAACCTGCTGAGCAATGAGCAGGCCAAAAAACTGAAAGATTTAAGTTTGCCTCTGTGCTTCATGCTCTGTGGAGCTTATAAATCTCTGTTAGAGATATTTTGCAGTGACATCACGCTGGGGGTGGTGTTCATCAGTTACCATGGAGATAAAATTCACACACATAGCAAACACAGTCAAAAAGGATTTAAGATTATCTGAAAACACAAATTTAAACAGCACATAAAGCTCAGAATAAAGTCTAACCTGAATAACAGAGCCTCAGACAGAGCAGAGCCTACAGTTAGCATCACATCCCCAGGGAATGTTGATGACATCAGCTGCAAAGTATCAATAGGCCCCCAGTTGCCTGAAACAGCAAAATTGCACAGGTTGTCTACATTGAGTTTGTATGAAAGCAGTGAGTTTTGATATGATGAACTTGTTATGATAATTTGAGTTGTGTTAGAGATATCACATGTGATTTTTTAATTTAATTTTTTTTATTATATAGTTGAAATTCTATCCAATGAATGCACAAAATATAGCGATAGATAGATAACATACACTTTGAAATCTAAAGTGATAAAAAAAAAAAAAATACTGTTAACTAAAACACTACAAAAACATGAGCTAAAATATTTATTACAAAAAATGCTACTCTAAATTAAATTTCAGCTACCATAGTGTTGTCCAGTTGTGTCTTTTTTGGTCACGGCCAAAATAATGAGTTAAACAAAATGTAATTATTAAATATTAAATTATAAACTATTAAGTTAGTTGGTGCATGTCATCTTTTCATACTTAAATAGCCTCCTGCAGTGGCAATTTTGAGGCACAATTTGCAAATATTACTAAACCATAACTAAATATTTGATCATGTACCATTTAAACTGTATTGCAATAACACAATTATTAATGGGTCTATTATAAAAGACTGTAATAGAGTGTGGAACCATTGACAAAAAACAATGGAGCTCAAGTAAATTTTCCATTAATTTTTCCCTTAGACATAAAAGCTTGAAAGCTTGCTCAGGGCTAATCAGCTATGTGGTAACTAATCACCACAAGACCTATAATTGTATTTGAAATCTGCTTCTAAAACTTTAAAACGATTTATAAAGATGCGATTTGGATTTAACACTACTGCGTTAGTTACCATGTAGCTGGTTAGTCTTCGTGATGCTTTTGAAATTTTCCGAATAATCTATCATAAAAATTAATGGAAGTGGGCAGGACTCCATAGAGATGAGGATAAGGTCATTACATTTCCTAGAATTTTCAGTATAGCCTTATGTTTTATGCTAAATACTAAACTTGGTGCCCATTTAAAAGTATTGTAACTCTATAGCGATAGATGTATTTACCAGCAGCTCACTGAGTTGTTCCACTGCTCTTGTTTACTTTTTGTAAACAAGAGCAGTACCGTACCATAAGGTGGCCGTAAATGGCGGAAACGGTAAAGAAACTGTTGAGAATCAAGATGGCGGCATTGTTTTTCGTCACTGTGAATCTCCCTCTGTCTTCATGTTGCCATTTGTCCCATAGTGCCTCCTAATCATAAGTGAAAGGCAGGTTTATGCTGTTCCTATGATGCCGGCTGTAAAAGGCAGTCGCAAACTTGATCTTTATTTGTCATTGTATATCCAGTGTGTTACTTTTTCACTTTCTACAATATTCTCATTTTTCAGTGTTAATCTCAATATTTTTACTGTCAGAAAACCTAAAAAAGGAGCCACGTTGCAACTCCGTCCTTTGAATATTGCTTGATTTTGATTGTTTTGCGTTGAATTTGCGATGATCTTTGTGTTTCTGATGTAAAGAAAAAAAGGTGCTCAAAATAATGTGAAGCCCAAATGCTGTACTGTACTGTACTGTTGAAAAAATAATAATACCATTGCATTTAATTTTCATTTTGTACATTTTTTATGCATCATTTTCTCTTCCACAAATGCTGGAAGCTGCAAAGACAAAATGTGAAATTGTGCCATATGCATGTCATTAAAGACTCTTTTGGTTGAATCTGTATTGAGGTGTGGTGTGTAGTTTTTGATGACATCTGATGGGGAAAATGAGATTGCAGTGACTAAGTATTTTATTAGATTACATTTATTTTCATTAGATTACATTACAGAGAATTGGTTGGGTTGGTTCCATGTAACCTATTGTCACTGGAGTAATACTATTTCCATAATGATGATGACTGTGAAAACTCTATCAGCCATGTTATTCTTTAGATTTGAGTACGTTAACAAGAATGTAGATAGGCAGGTACTTTTCAAAGGGGCATTGTGTACTTTTTTCTGGTTGATGGATGCGCCACCTGCTCGTATCCATGGAGATTGTATTGCTTTGCTTTGTAATGTTTTGCATTGCATTTTGCTTGTCTATCTCTGTGGAGGAGGTGATTAGTCAGGCTGGCGCCACCTATTGCCTCCGCTCAACTTCATTTCTCTCCAGGGACTAGGTCAGGAATCAGAATACACTAGACGGTTTGCAAAAACCTCGGAAGTGCGAGTTCAGGCACCAGCCAATCAGCGAAGAGCCATACATTCTGTTTTGGCAACGATTCCTGAGATCGAGGATTTAAAGCCGGAACAAACAGAAAGTTTGGTGAATTTTATCAAGCTGAAAGACGTTATTGCCCTTCTTCCTACGGGATTTGGGAAAAGCTTATTATACCAGTTAGCCCCATTAGCAGCGCATTACATACGTCACGACCAAATAGCAATGATTGGTTAAGTAAAAGAAAGTACCCGCCTACTGTCGAGCGAATGAATCCTAATGCTGCGAGGTCAGACAGTTTCTACAAAGTGAAACCAGCTGATGAATCAGGCTAGGAGGTGATGCCACTAGGCCAAGTTTTACAGGTCAGATCTGTGGAGAGGCAATGTTGTTCACACGTGTAAATAATGTTTTCAAGATACTTTTATAATTGGTGTTCTATTGCTCAAAAATAATTCTTGATACATAAGTAAAATGCCATACTGTGGAACATTACAAAGCAGTAAACTTTTCATGGAGACGAGCAAGTGGTGAATTCCCAACCAGAAATGTTACACAGTGTCAAGTAGAAACAGAGGGAGGACCCAAAAATGCAGGACTGCTTCAGTTGTTTAATATAACAAAAACCCCAAAACAGAAGAAACCAAATCCAAAAATAGAAACTACCACAGACATGATACTGACAAAGACCAATACAATGGACCAACAAAGTGCAGAGAACACAGCGCATATAAGCACATAGACACAGGTGTAATATATTAGGGCGGGGCAAACAATCAACAGACAGGAAGTAAAACTCAAACTACAAGCAGACAGGACAAATGTCAAAATAAAACACCAAAGGTACACTACACTACAGGAAAAAATACCCCAAAATAAGCCAAAACAACAACTACAGAACATGAACCATGACACACAGTGCACCTTGTTACACTTTAGTCTCCCTCTTAAATGTTTCACGATTCAGCTTAACCTGTATTCAGTTCAGGTCAATCAAATTTTCTTTCTCATTTTACATTTGCAGATCAATTTCCACACATATCTCTATATAAAACAGCCCAGCGTATTATCCTTATAGCCTGGACCGAGCAGCCTGGACACCGTCTTGCACAACTTATTCTGAGGCATAAAGAAATTCCCTGACGGTGCTTGGGCCAAAGTCACCCCTGGGCTTGGATGAACCTCCTTTGGCTCTGGTCCCATGTCACAAAAGCTGCCTTCTTCTTTTCAGGAGAGGGGCAAATGCTGAGGCAGTCCTATTTGATAATGGCTCCTTAGTGCCTCGTGCTGCTCAACCTTTCAGCTATTATTTTAGATTAACTACATGCAGCTTTATTGATTGCGGATAGGGCGCTGATGTACCTCTTTTCCTACCTCTGTGCCTTTGCCTTCAACAGTAAGGGAGACATCTCATGCACAACGGGAGTGATTGATCTATAGGGAGAGGTATTGATCAAACGTAGCCACAATTTAAATAGAATCAATGATAAACGTGATTGGTTAAGCATACGCGTACAGCTCAAGGCCCCTTGGCTAGTTTTGGCCTTTGTAAAACGCCTTAAGTGTAATTACATTTGCAACAGGAAGTCAAATGCTTACTTACCGGATCTCACGCTAAATCTGTTATTTAATTTATATGCAAAATAAGCATGAATTATATATCGTATGTAATAAAGGGAAGCAGTTCAACTTCCCCTGAGAAGACAAGTTTGTGGTGTCGCTCTGAATTGAATTGCTACTCATAAATGAATGCAGAGTTTTAGTGTTTTATGCTCTCAGTTCTCTAAAGTAATTATTGGTAAAACCTTTGACGAAGGCAAAGAAAGACTGGCGTTTGCAAGTTTAAACGTGCATCTATTGCGCCATACCGCTGCAGACCATTTTGAAATCTTAGAAATGAAATCAACAAGTGGTACATTTGATAAATATGTATGCTGCTATTTTTATTGGCAGCCAGTAGAATTCAGTTATAAAGGTTATCAGTGATTTCCTATTCCTAGTAAACCTGGATAGTGGAAACAAAGGCACCAGAGTATTTGAATAGTCCTTTCAAATCAGGTAAGAATGAGATCTAGGGTCTTGTAACAACAACGCAAGTCAATCAACGTTATTTTGTTTGTGAATAGTGCAAAACATGTATGTATTTTGTATTGCTTGGAATGGTTCAGTGTTTAGTCTATCTGGAAATGCCCCATGTAGCCTATTCAGTCCTGGAGCCTATTATTTAAAGAGCTTATATTATGATTTCCTTTGTTAGAATGTTGTTTCCTCATCGCAAACATACCTGAGTTAACCCTGCATATTTTAAGCTCAAACTGAAATGTCTTTGCTGCACCTCGTGATGTAATACAGGAAGTGCTCCACTGAATATTTAAACTCCATACACCTGCATATTTAGGCTGAGGCTTTTCTCAAACAGAAAACACTCTGTTCCACCTTGTGATGTCATGTGGTAATACAGAAAGTGCTCCAGTCGATGAAATCTCGAAAACTCGATACACGTTAACTATAATCATTGGGATAATTTTGGCCCTGGAATTGCCAATCTCTACTGAGCAAATGGTCCTAACCCTAACTTGAAAACTACCACTTCATGACATCACAAGGTGGAATAGCATTTTGAGCTTTGGAGATGTAGACAGACTTACAGGCTTACTCAAATAAAACTGTGAATTAAACAAAACAGAACTCCAAGTAAGATGCATTTTGTAACTTTTCTGACCTGTAATATTGTCTAGTGTTGAAGGTACGTTTAATGCCATATTGTGGGACATTTTGAATAAAACAAAATGATATCTACATGGGAACAAATGGGTGGATGAAGTTACATATTGCAGCTTTAATACAACCTCCCAAATGTAAATACAGTAGTCTGCATCAATTCCAATTATATTACTTCTAAGTTCTAACACAAGGTGTCAGTGTAAAGCTACATTTGAACTTCCATTGAGCAGAGGGAGGCGGGGGAGAGAGGGAGAGAGAAGGAAGGAGGGAGAGATGGAGAGTGAGGGAGGGGTGGGAGGGAGGTGGTCTGTGAATCTGGGGCACCCTGCTGCTCGAAGCCTTCCAGCTGATGAGAGAGAGCAAGAGGAGCGCAATGGATGAAGGCACGGTTTGATCACAGCACACTGGCCACGTCCGCTACTGCTGCTGCAACAGAGGAGAGAGGAGAGGAGAGAGGGAAGGAGGGAGAGAGGATAAGGGGGAGTAGAGAAGAAGAGGAGAGGGAGAAAGAAGGGAGGGAGAAGGACGGAGGGAGAGAGGATAAGGGGGTGTAGAGTAAAAGAGGAGAGGGAGAGAGAAGACAGGTGGAGAGAAAGGGAGAAGATGGGGAAAAGAAGGGAAGGGAGAAAGAGGGAGAGAAAGAAGAAGGGAAGGGAGAAAGAGGGAGAGAGAGGATGGGGGAGTAGAGTAGGAAAGGAGATACAGAGAGAAGACGGGAGGAGGGACAGATGAGGATGAAGGAGAGGAAAGAGGGAGGAGGGAGAGAGAGTGAGGAACTGCGAAGGAGAGGGAAGGGGAGGGAGACAGTAGATAGAGGACAGAGGATGGAGAGAAGGAAGGAGAGAGCGAGACTATATTAGAGAGTGAGAAAAGACAGGAGGAGGGGGAGAAGGGGATAGAGGAAAAGAAAGAAAGAAGGGGTAGGGTGGGAGTGAGGAAGACAGAGAGGAGAGGGAGAGAGAGTGAGGAAGTGAGAAGGAGAGGAAAGGGGAGGGAGAGAGTAGATAGAGGACAGAGGAGAGAGAGAGACTACATTACCCAGAATTGCAAATCTGTTCATGCCTTCTCTAGATCTTTCCATTAGGCCTATTCTTAAATTCACAAATATCAGCCTGAAATGGTAGACACTGTATCACAGTCATGAACCATGCAAAGACACTATCAATCTAGATTTTACATCTACCTAACTACAATCCATTTTAATATTCAGGCTTCAAATCACAGGATGCCTCACAGTTTGATACAATACACGATACATGCCTCACGACACGATATTCTCACGATATTGCAATTGCAAATGTGATAATCAATATATTTCACATGATACTCTTGTGAAATAGTGCTGTTTTTTTAAGAACCAAATACATTTTAGCAACAATATTTCTTTGTTAAACCACTACTTGTCCAAAGTTAATAAGAAATACATCTATTTTAATCATCAAAACAGTGAATATGTCAAGTCAATGTCAAGGCATAAACAAGTTTCCTTCCACTAAATAATGTTAGAAGATACCAACAAATACTACATTTTATCGATACAGCGGCCCATGATAACGATATTGTATGACATTTAGTATCAAGATCTACAGATATTTCAATATTTGTGCTCACTACTATTTAATATCACATAGTATTTGCTTCAACTGGTCACAGTAGGTTGCCTTCATGTTGTAAACAAGACCAAAAAAATTCACAAATGATGTATCTTTGTAATTTTCTACTCTGTTCAAGCATGTTCTAAATGTGCTAAAAGAGATATTTGACTGTATTTTTGTTTCACGTGAATTGATAAACTGCAA